AGGAGACTGTCCAGGGTCACCAGGGGCGGGGGACTTGATGGTGAGTTGTCTGGAGTAAAGGCAATGCTCACCATGGTGGTCCAGGAGTGGTGGCTTCCTGCTGCAGGACAGGGCCTGGTCTGTGTGGGGACTTTGGGGTTCCTTCCTGATCCTGGTGGTAGGGCTGGGGAAAGCAAGTTTTCTTAATGGAAATCAGCAACAAACTGTTCATTACTGTCTGAATCCTGAGCTTCTGAGACCCACGTCTCCTCGAAGTGATTTAGATTCTGGAAGAGGAGGCAAGGAGCCTGGGTACATGAGATTCCCCTGCAGGGCCATCTGTGCTTTGCACAGACTCCCATTTCCGGACGATTTCTGCGGAAAACAAGCCCCTGAGTGGTCTGGGGGCGGTGCTGGGGTTCCTGGCGATCCAGGGTCCCGCGAGGTGGGAGGGTAATGGATTAGGAGAACATGGGTGGGGTGGGCGTGGAGGCCGCATGCAGAAGTTACCCCTTCGGAAGGTGTAGAGAGCACTTGCTGGTCCAAGTATCCGCCTTTCATCCTCTGCTGCAACCAGCCGCTCTCTCTGCAGGGGCAGAGACATGCTCTGTGAGCCCTTGCGCCTTTCTGCTGCGTCCTGCAGCCCCGCTCAAGCTGACTGTTACGTAAGGCGTGTGTTTGTGATCTTTGCTTTTTAAAACTTTAAAGAGAGACATCGTTGCAGATTTGTCCAGTGCGGTACGTCTTTTGGGTTTCCTGACTACTGCTTCTAAGGGCATGGATGGTAGATCCAAGTAGAATGAAATCTGTGACAACTTTACTCTTTTTTCTATTCATCATGATATTTATTGATTCAGTTATGAGGATTTTTGTTTAATTTATGTTGAGGTGTAATACATATTGAAGACTGTAGTCTTTGATCTTCATCAGTAAGTGCTTCAAGTCAGCTTCCCTTTCAGAAAGCAAGGTTGTGTGATCAGCATTTCACAGGCTGTTAATGAGTCTTCCTCTAACCCCGATCCTGTATTCTCCTTCATATAGTTCAGTTTCTTTTATTATTTTCTCAGTCTACAGATTGAACAAGTATAGTGAAAGGATACAACCCTGACGTGTGACTTTCTTTATTTAAAACCTGTGGTATTCCCTTATTCCAGTCTTACCTCTTGGTCTATGTGCAGGTTCCACAAAAGCACAATTGAGTGTTCTGGAATTCCCATTCTTCGTCATCATCTGTTGTGACCCACACAGTCAAATCCCTTTGCATAGTTAATAAAATACAGGTAAACATTTTTCTGGTATTCTCTGCTTTCAGCCAAGGTCCATCTGACATTGTTGTTGTCAGGTGCCATCGAGTTGGAACCAACTCATAGCGACCCCCTGTAAAGCAGAACGAAACAATGTCTGATCCTGGGCCAACCTCACTACCGCCGCCACACTTGACGCCATCAGTGATGTCACTTGGCTGATCCATCTCGTTGGGGGTCTTCCTCTTTTTCTCTGACCCTCCACCTTACCCTGCATGACAGCCTTCTCCAGCGACTGTTCTCTCCGGACAATGTGTCCAAAGTATGAGAGATGAAGCTTAGCCATCTTGGCCTCCAAGGAGCACTCTAGTTGCACTTCTTCCAAAACAGATCTATTGGTTCTTTTGGCAGTCCATGGCACTTTGAATATTCTCCTCCAACACCACAACTCAAAGGCATCAAATCTTCTATGATCTTCCTATTCACTGTCCAGCTTTCGCATCCATATGAGGTTATTGAAAATACCGTGGCTTGGGTCAGGCACACCTTAGTTCTCAAGCTGACATCTCTGCTCATCAATACTTTAAAAAGTTACTGTGCAGCAGATTTGCCCAATGCAATACGTTATCTGACATCTTGACTGCTGCTTCCACGAGCGTTGATAGTTGATCCAAGAAGAATGAAGTCCTTGACAACCTCAATCTCTTCTGACATTAGCAATGATGATATTCCTTGTTTTATGTCCTCTTCCAGTTTGAATTTCTGTTGATGTATTGCTGAAAGTGTTTTTTAAATTATCTTCAGCAAAATTTTACTTGTGTGTGATAGTATTTAATAGTTATATATATATATATCAATTAATACTTAATTAAAAAAATTTTTTGAATTACTTTTCTCTGGAATGGGCACAATATAGATTTTTTCCATGTGGTTGGTCAGATAGCTGTTTCCCAAATTTCTTGGCATAGATGAGTGAGCACCTCCAGTATTGCATTCTTTTGTTGAAACATTTCAATTGGTATTCTGTCAATTCATGGAGCCTTCCTTTTTGGCAATGCCCTTGTAGCGTGGACTTCGTCCTTCAATACAATCAGCTCTTGATCATATGCTACCTCCTGAAATGACTGAAGGCTAACCAGTTCTTTCGGGTACAGTGACATTATGTATGTCTTCCATCTTCTTGTTATGCTTCATGTCTTGGTCAGTATTTGGTCCATAGATTCATTCCTTCAATATTGCAACTCAAGGTTTGAATTTATTCCTTGGTTCTTTCAACTTGGGAAATGCTAAGCATGTTCTTTCCTTTAAGGCTCTTTTATGGTGCCGTGAGTTAAATGTTGGGCTGCTAACCATAAGGTTGGTGATTCAAACCCACCAGCTACTTCTGAAGGATGAGGCTGTCTGCTCTCTTAACGACTTACAGTCTCAGGACCCGTATGAAGCAGTTTTACTTTGTGCTTTAAGGTTGCTATAGTTTTGTGTCAGAATTTATTTTCTTGCAGTGGGTTTTTTTTTGTTTGTTTGTTTGATTTTTCCCTTTTGATTTTCTAACTGTAGGTCTTTGTATATTTCATTATTGTCTTCTTAAGCCAATAGCAACCCTGTATAGGGTTTCCAAAAAGCAGCTAGTGGGTTTCAACTTCTGACTTTGCAGTTAGCCATCTAGTGCTTATCCTGTTGTTGTTGTTGTTAAGTGTTGCGTCCGACAACCAGCTGTACTCTGCGACCCACTTTGAGAAATTAAACCCGAGTAGGGGTGAAGAAGCTCTGGTAGTGTAGTAGCTACGAGTCTGGCTGCCAACCACAAGGTCAGCAGTTCGAAACTACCAGACCAGCTGTTTCATGGGAGAAAGATGAGGCTGTCTGTGCCCGTAAAGATTTACAGCCTTGGAAACCCTGTACAGGGTCGCTATGAGTTGGAACCGACTCCATGGTACTTAACAACAACAACAACAGGGGTGATGGGAGATTAGAAATAAAAAGGAAGATACTAGACACAAATGACAATAGTAAAGTTGCGACCAGGTGGGACAGACACACTGATGGAGATAGATTCAGCACCTTTATTATATACACATATCAAAGGATAGTACTGGGGGCAGGGAAAAGAATGCAAAAAACATTTGGTGTTATTGATGCAATTTCAGCAGGACTTTACCAGAAGGATGTAACTTGTGGTTCCTAAGGAGACAGAGATAGGGCAGCTAGATGTTTTTGCAAACTAAACTGAAGGCCATCGCTGCCTACAAGGAAAGACTTTACAAATTCCTTGTTCCCTGAGGCAGGCTTTGCAAGTTACACAGGGTACAGCCTGACCTGGGAGCAGCCCGATTTTCTGGACCACAGCTGTTCAGTTGCAATCCTTTGGTTAAACTACCCCAAAGTCTGAGACCTTCAATTTAGTTGTTCCCAACAGTTAAGTGCTGTTGAGTCGATTCTGACTCATAGTGACCCTATATATGATTTCCTAGTAGCTGCTGGTGAGCTTGAAATGCTGACCTTGTGGTTCAAACTGGCCTTGTAGTCCAGCACATTAACCCTCAGTGCTATGCCAGGACTCCTCTTATCCTAATAGTGCCATATTATCGCCCCCAAATTAGTGTAAATTCGGAGAAGGTAAAGATGTATTCTGCCCCAGGTTGACCTGTGTTTGTCAGTTGCATGAGCGGATTAACATTCTGCTTCTTCAGATTTTTCATGATGAAATTTAGGCCTGTTTTTATTACTAGTCCAGGTGTGGCACTGTAGGATTAGCACTGGACCACAAGGTTAGTTTGAACTGCAAGGTCAATGGTTCAAACTTAACAGCCATTCCTCGGAAATACTATACAGGGTTGCTATGAGTTGGAACCAACATGACAACACTTAATAACAACATTGCTGAAACAGAAATGCCTCAAGTGTGTGGCTTTTAAAGAACAGAAATTTATTTTCTTAAAATTCTAGAATCTAAAAGATCATGTCAGTCTCTGGACTGAGTATATCTGTGTCTAAACATATATATATATATTCACAAGTGATTAGAATTAGGACACATTGTACACTGAGCTGGTCTCATTAACATAAGAAAGAAGAGTCTATTTCCATATAGGAATATAGCCACAAATATAGTTAAGGTTTTGTGTCAACTCAGTTGGGTCTGGATTCTCAGTTGTTTAGTAGTTAAAATGCAGTTATCACCTATATGATGAGACCTAATATAATACAGTCAACCCTATGATATGATTTTATGTGATAAGCTCTGATCTGACATAATTAGTCTATATTGTAAATCCTCACTTATTTGATGTTAATGAGGTCTGTGATGTTAATGAGATACAATCTACAGGATTAGGTTTTATCTTGAGTCAATCTCTTTAAAAAAAAATTTTTTTTTGAGTCAATCTATTTTGAGATATAAAAGTAGAGAGAAGTGAGCTAAAATCAGAGGAACCTACTACTACCAAGATAGAAGAGCCAACAGCGGAGTGCACCCTTTGTACCTGGGATCCCTAAGTTGTGAAGCTCCTAGATTCAGAGGAAGATTGATGCCAAGACACATGGAGAACTCCAAGGCATGCTGGGCCTACTGATGTTGAAAGGAGACAAGGACCTTTCTCCAGAGCCAGTTCTCTGTCTTCGGACTTCTAGCTTCCTAAACTGTGTTATAGCAGCACTAGATACTAAAACAAGGGGTTAGGATTCCAACACATAATTTGTGGAATTTAATCTATAACAAGATAGTGTTGTGTTTTATAAACTTTAAAGTTTAACATTTTCTTTCCTTTCTACTTTCAGCCATACTTCCCATTGCCACTAGCTGTTGTACTGAGGTCTCACATCATATTTCCAGAAGGCTTCTGGAAAGAGTGACTATGTGTCACATTCAGAGGGCTGATGGGGATTGTGACCTGGCTGCTGTCATGTGAGTACCCTTCAGCAAGGATGTCTAAACCTGTGGTGATAAATTGGAGGACATACCAATTATCAACCAAACAAGGGAGGTTTGTGTACTCCATAGTGAATATAGAATGTCTCTAGAGGATGTTTATAACCCTACACTAATCCTTTCACTGGAAAATGTTAAGGACGTCCCTAAACAAAACAAGGAAAATACCAAGTGGAAAAGAAAGCAAAGGTGACTTTATTTTATTTTGTGACTTTAACTTTACCTAGACAAGTACAAAGGAGCTCCAAAAAGTTCATGGGAAAATAGAATTAAAAGATGAAGGAATTTTTCAATGAACTTTTTGTTCTCCCCTCATATACAGTGCATATTAGTCTCTGACTTTATTAGAAGTGTATTATATGAGGGTGCTTCAAAAAGTTGATGGAAAAATTCCATGAACTTTAAATTCCATTTTTCCTTCAACTTTTTGAAGCACCCTCATAAGACTCACCACCACTCGTCTGTCAGTATGTCATACTATGGTGGATTGCAGGAATGAAAAGGTTGGAAACAAAGAGGAAGTATCTGTGGTTGGAAAATATGACCTTGGTGATAGAAATGATGCTGGAAATCACATGAAAGAATTTTGTAAAACCAATGATTTGTTAATTGCAAATACCTTTTTTAAACAACATAAAGATGATTATACACATAGACCTGACAACATGGAATACACAGAAATCAAATTGACTATATCTGTGGAAAGAGATGCTGGAAAAGCTCCATTTCATCAGTCAAAATAAGACCAGGGGCAGATTGTGGAACAGATTATCAATTGTTCATATGCAAGTTCAGACTGAAGTTGAAGAAAATGAAAACAAGTCCATGAGAGCCAAAATATGACCTTGACTATATCCCACCTGAATTTAGAGATCATCTGAAGAACAGATTTGACACATTAGACACTAAAGACTGATGACCAGAAGAGTTTGGGAACATTATAAAGGTAGAAAGAACATTATAAAGGTAGAAAGCAAAAAGCCATCAAGAAGACAAGAAAGAAGGAAAAGATCAAAATGGATGTCAGAAGAAACTCTGAAACTTGCTCTCCAGCATAGAGATGTTAAAGAAAATGGAAGATATGAGGAGTTACAAGAGCTGAACAAAAAAATTCAAACGTCAGCTCAGGAAGGCAGAGTCAAGTATTATAATGAAATGTGCAATGACATGGAGTTAGAAAGCCAAAAGGAAATAATTCACTTAGTATTACACAGGTTGAGGGAACTGAAGAAAAAATTCAACCCGCAGCTTTCATTATTAAAGGATTCTCTGGGCAAATTATTGAATGATGCAGAAAACATCAAAAGAAGATAAAAAGAATATACAGAGTCACTGTATCAAAAGGCAATGGTCAATGTTCAATCATTTCAAGAGGTAGCATATGATCAAGAGCCAATGATACTGAAGAAAGAAGTCCAACATAAAGTGAAGTCATTGGCAAAGAATAAGGCACCGGGAATTGATGGAATACAAATTGGAATATTTCAAGAAAGTGAGGTTGGCACTGGAGGCACTCACTCATATATGCCAAGAAATTTAGAAGACAATAGTCTGGCCATCTGATTGGAAGAGATCTGTATTTGTGCCCATTCCAAAGAGAGGTGACCCAATGGAATGTGGAAATCATCTGACAATATCTTTGATATCCCCTGCGAGTAAAGTTTTACTAAATGTAATACAGAAATGGCTGCAAGCATACATTGACAGAGAACTTCCAGGGGTTCAAGCCAGATTCAGAAGAGGACGTGGAATGAAGAATATCATTGCTGACATCAGAGAATACCAGAAAGATGTTTACCTGTACTTTATTGACTACACAAAGGCTTTCGATTGTATGGATCATGACAAGCTTTGGACAACATTGAGAAGTATGAGTATTCCAGAACACGTAATTGTGTTCATGAGGAACCTGTACCTGGACCAAGAGGCATTTGTTTGAACCGAACATTGGAACACTGAATGTTTAAAAAATTAGGTAAGGCATGTGACAAAGTTGTATTCTTTCACCATACTTATTCAACTTGTATGCTGAGCAAATAATCTGAGAAGCTGGGTTATTTAAAGAAAAATGTGGCCTTAGGATTGAAGGAAGAATCATTAACAACCTGTGATATGCAGCTGATACCACCTTGCTTGCTGAAAGTGAAGAGGACTTAAAATACTTACTGATGAAGATCAAAGAAGGAGCTTTGGTAGTGTAGGGATTACGAATCAGGCTGTGAACCGCAAGGTCAGCAGTTCAAAACTACCAGCTGTTCCATGGGAAAAACATGAGGCTTTCTGCTCCCATCAAGATTTACAGCCTCGGAAACCCTGTTTAGGGTGACTATGAGTCAGAACTGACTCCATGGCACGTAACAACAACAAAGATCAAAGACCACAGCCTTTGGTATGGATTGCATCTCAATTTAAAGAAAATAAAAATCCTTACTACTGGACAACATTCTTATCAGTGGAGAAAAGATTGAAGTTGTCAAGGACTTCCTTTTTCTTGGATCAACCATCAACATTCATGGAAGCAGCAGTCAAGAAATCAAATGACGTGTAGCATTAGGCAAATCTGCTGCACAAGACCTTTTTAAAGTGTTGAAGAGCAAAGATGTCAGCTTGAGGACTAAGGTACACTTGACCCACGCCATGGTATTTTCAATAACCTCATATGCATGGGAAAGGTGGAGAGTGAATAAGGAAGACCATAGAAGAATTGATGCTTTTGAGTTATGGTGTTGGAGAATATTGAAAGTGCCATGGGCTTTCAAAGAACCAACAGATCTGTGTTGGAAAAAGTGCAGCCAGAGTGCTCCTTGGAGGCCAGGATGAAGCCAAACTTCATCTCTCATACTTTAGACATATTGTCAGGAGGGATCAGTCACTGGAGAAGGATATCATGTTTGGTAAGGTGGAGGGTCAGAGAAAAAGAGGAAGACCCCCAGAGAGATGGATTGGCAAAGTGGCAGCATCAAACGGCTCAAATGTAGTAACAATTGTGAGGTTGGCGCAGGACTGGTCAGTGTTTAATTCTTTTGTGCATAGGGTGGCTATGAGTCTGTACTGACTCAGTGCCACCTAACAACAACAACAACATAAGACTAAAAAAAAAAAATGTAGGGAACAGTGAGGGGCTTCATGGCAGCTACAGTGGAGGTCCAGTGAAGTTCGCCGTCAGAAATACCAGAGAATAGCAGGCAAAGCAGATCCAAGGCAGAGCTCCAAAATGCGGAACCACAGAGATAAGAATATTTAAAAGGTTTGAAGACTTATAGTTAGTGGAACTTGTAGCAAAAGTAAGAAATCACATACTTTTGAATCTGCTGGGCTAGGTGGCCTGGAGCCAACAACTTGGGTGAGACCAAACGGCAAAACCAAGCTGGGTAGCAGACACATCATGGAAAAACACCACAGGAACCTCAGAGCAAAGGTGGACAATACACTTTGTCAATTTGGCCTTGTTCTGATTTTATTGTTTGTGTGTATGCTCTTTGATCTTCATCAGTAAATATTTCAAGTCCTCTTCACTTTCAACAAGCAAGATTGTATCATCTGCATATCGCAGGTTGTTACTGAGTCTTCCTCCAATCCTGATGTCATGTTTTTCTGCATAGAACCCAGCTTCTCAGATTATTTGCTCAGCATACAAGTTGAATAAGTATGGTGAAAGAACGCAACCTTATCGACACCTTTTTAAATTTTAAAACATTTAGTATTTCCATGTTCTGTTTGAACAACTGCCTCTTGGTTCAGGTACAGATTCCTCATGAGCACAATTAAGTGTTCCGGAACACTCATATTTCACAATGTTGTCCATAGCTTGTCATGATCCACACAA